AGTAGAGCACAGGGAAAGGGATATGAAATGGGAAGGGAACTTGACCTAGTAATATACACTGGTATATGGGTTAACGATGAGCATTTGAATGACTAGTCAATGATAGGTTTGAGGTGATGGAATTACCCAATACGCTGTGCCGAGAATCAATTAGGATGTTTGCATAACAAGAACGAACCTTTTGAATTTTCAAAGGAGCTTCTTAAATAGCTTTGTATAGACAAGACATGGAAGTGATTCTGATCACATACTTATTATGCGTGTTTGATTTATTCATTTAAGAATTATCAGAATCCAGTCCACGATGACCAAATTGGTGGCTTGCAATTGAAAATGCCAAATAAGAAGAGGTTCTCATTGCTTTAGTTTGCAGGGGATGATCGAAGAGTTGGGGATATATTTTCTGCTATATGACCGGGCTGGGTATGGAGAAAGTGATCCGAACCCAAGGCGATCAGTCAAGAGTGAAGCACTTGACATTCAAGAACTTGCTGATCAATTAGAGATAGGATCCAGGTTTTATGTGATCGGAGTCTCAATGGGATCATACCCCATCTGGAGTTGCCTCAAATACATACCACACAGGCAAAGCAGTCAATAATCCTAGTTAATTTAATGGTTTTTGCTTTCGAATGCTGTCATAAGAGTTTGCTACTTACCTCAAAAAGTTCTGTGCAGGTTAGCAGGTGCGGCTCTAATAGTCCCGGTTGTGAATTATAATTGGCCTTCTCTTCCCAAAAAGCTGATAAGAGAGGACTATAGAAGGAATCTTGTCCAGTGGACATACCGGTTTGCAAAATATGCTCCTGGACTCCTGCACTGGTGGGTTACGCAGAAGTGGACTCCTTCAACTTCTGTACTGGAAAAAAACCCTGCATTCTTTAACACTCACGACATAGAAGTCTTGAAGAAGATACCAGGATTCTCAATGCTGAGCCAGGTAACTATAACACTATGCTCCATTATGCATGAAAGGGGGAAAGAGAATGGCCTTCAGATTATAAACTAGAGTGATGTTAGGGTAGCTAATAATTTTAATAAGTACATGGCTCTATTCATCCTCAAAGGAAATGATTGATATATCATCTATCTTTAACCTCCACATCAGTTCGTAAAACAAGTATTAGTAAGAGTGTTATCTATAGCAGGATTCAACTGAAAAATGATAAAAATCAATCATGCTCAGTTGTATTTACATGTAGGCATTTAAATAAATGTGCTGAATTAAGTGTCATCTCATAATAATGCTATTCTTTTCGATTTACAGGAAAAAATACGGCAACGAGATGTTTTCGATACCCTCCGTCATGACTTTATAGTGGCTTTTGGAGACTGGGAATTTGATCCAATGGAACTAAGTAACCCATTCCTGCAGAATGAAGGCTCTGTTCACATCTGGCAAGGTTATGAAGACAAGGTTGTGCCATTTCAACTTCAAAGATGTATTTCAAAAAAGCTACCCTGGATTCAGTATCATGAAGTTCCTGGAGGTGGACATCTAATTGTGCATTATACTGGTTTATGCGAGGCTGTTTTGAGAGCACTTTTGCTAGGAGAAGAGCCTCTTACATTAGACCAAATACATCCATAATTTGTACGTTAAATTTGTCACATCATTGTTTCATTGTTCAACTTGTTCAAGTAAGTAGATTGACTTTTAGGGATTGTAAACACGTCAGTTACATTTGTCATTTGAATGATTGAAGAGTATATGATTCTTTCCTATGATCGCGCGTAAAATATAGATGCCAGAATCTTCACCTTTGAACTAATCACTGGAAATTTGAAAGGCTTGGTGGAAGTTGGAGGGCTGAAAGAAAATTCTCACACAATTGAACAAGGTTTGCACATTTTTAATTGGAAGTCATTCAAGCAAGAACCGACAAGAAGAGCAATGAATCAAAGGAATCATAAGAGACAAGAAAGCATATGCTTTATTTTCAGAGTGCTGGTGTATATAAGTTGAACACTTGGGGCAAGCACATCACCATCACAACTTATATCTTAAAGTAAGAAGCAGAGAGAGCTACCCCACTCTTTGTACAGAATAAGAAGGTAAAGGACAGCAGCTACTTGGTTGCTGAAACCTTCGGACCTGCACTACTTCGATGCTGAAACAAAAAGAATCCTAGCTCTTGTTACCTCGAAGGAATATCCCCCTATTCTTTGACACTAAATGCTTCATGTCTAGAGTTGGAGATTCTGGTGGCTATTAAAATTCATCAATCGAGATGAGGACAAATTCTGGTATGTAGTTCTTGTTCAAAAGAAGATTTTCATTCCATGGATAAAAAATGATCACGAGTCAGCAGAAAAATATTTCCCCACAGCCACAGAAGAGATTTGTCATTGAGAGGTAAGGATAAAATACCAGACACAAAGCAAAAATGCTTACTGAAAAACAAATGTACAGGTTGCTCAACAGAATAGCTATTTGTACAAGCTACAGTTTCTTGATTTAGCAAGACAACTCGCTCCATCATATGTTCTTATAGATTCATCACTCTCTTTCTCCAAACCATGAGCATAAATGGAAAACATATTTAACCCCATAAAAAAGACGTTCTTGCACAGCATATATACAATGCTGAACCCTCGAACCAAGTTAAAAATCTTGGTTTTGTCGGTACCTGATAGCACTGGGAGCTGTCCTGGAAGGAGTTCAAAGACAAAGGATGCTGGTGAAGAATTTTTTGCGAACAGAGCTAATAGCAAGCTCTTCCAAGAAGGTTGCAAATCCACTGATCTTACATACATATCCAAGCTTGACAAGGATGAAAGACCTATCAAATGTGGTATGCTATAACTGGGTAACAACCTTGGTACCGGGGCTACCATTGAAGCAAGGATTGTCTTGCAACCCAAGAACTTGCCTGGCATTTGTCGAAAACGTTGCAGAGCGAAGACAGCCATTACAGTGATTTAATCAGAACCGTGCTTGTCAAACGGGCCTGGCCCAAAAGGTTAAAACTAACTTGCAGTTAGCACTATTTTGAATCAGTTTTAAGGTTAACCGAATGACTCGACTAAACTCGAATGAGAATTAACGGGTGAATTTCAATTATTTTTAAAAATGTTGTTTATTTATTGAAAACAAGAGAGTAAAAAAGTTAAGAATACAAACCAATAGGATCAGAACTAGAAGAAACAACATGAGCATAAAATTGTGAGAAGTCAAAACAATATTAAGAGAAACGAAGAGGGTATAACTTAGTCCTCGTACTTAAACAATTCCTTGACTGGTATTGATTATTCTTAATTTAATATTTTTTTGTTTTAAAAATATATATCTTGTTGTTTTTTCAATGTTTTACTTAATTCTTTTTAATTCGCTCTGTTTTTTCAAGAAAAAAATAAATAAATTTAAAAAGAATAAGAGGGTAAGTTGTGAAAAAAAGAGAGTAGTGTTTAAATATGTAGTTTCTAAAACTATATATATAGGAATTAATCAACTAGATTTATTAAATTAAATAGACTAGTGCAAATTTAGGGCACACAAGTGTGCGGAAACAAGCCCAGGATGACATAATAAAAGAGTCGACATGACATTAATCATACTGAAGACAAGAAAGTATTGCTGATAGTACATGAAAACAGTTTTTATTTTTTATTTTTTTTTATTTTTTTTAATGAAAGGCAATAAAAGTATACATGTACGTCCGAAATGAAAATAAACAAACAAATAAGAATAGCATTTACTCTAAGTTGACATTGAAAAAGAATAATTTAAGAAATTAAGAAATATAAAAATTAAAGAAATACAATGACAATTAGTTCTTCGTGATTTTAGGGTGTTGCGAGGCTAATTATTACTACTTGCCCTACCGAGGAAATAGATGCAATAATAAGAGAAAAATAAAATTAATATATTTTAGTAATTTTAAGAAATACATCTCAAAAGTATATTTTATATAAACTATTTTAATATCTATTTATAAAAAAAATACTTTTAAAAATATTACACACAACAATAATAAACAGAAATGTTTTCTAACATAAAATTGAGGTACACGGTAAAAATAAAACATCTATTATTGTTGGATGAAACCGAGAAAGGAAGAACAATCTTGAATTGATGTTTTCGAGATCCGTGATTTCTTTCCAGATCTGGAAATCTAAAAAGTTTGTTTGAAATCAGTAAAAATACATTAATCACTTTAATGAAAAAAATAAAAAAATCATACATCAATGAATAGCGTCACGCATTGACCAAAACAAGCCACATGAGATTGACTTGACTGCTTGAAAAGTTAAATTACCTCGTTAACTTTCTAGTAATGATAATAAGATTGATTTAAATTGATTTTTATTTAAAAATATATAAAAATTATTATTATTTTTTAAAAATTATTTTTAATTTTATTATATTAAAACAATAAAAAAATATAAAACAATAAATTCAAACAAAAAAATTTAAAAATAAAATCATGAAACGAAGAGCCCCTTATTATTTCGTCCTAAAAAATAGATCTAGAAATATATAATTATTTCAATAAATTCAAGTAATAATATTGAAAATAAATAAAAATCATGAAGGTGTTGATAATGTTATAAATTTTGCTAAATATATTTCAATATGATCCAAAATACTGTTTTCAAGTATGAATTTTTGAAAAATTACTAAAAATATAGTCTGATTTAATAGTTTGAGGTTTAAGATATGTAAAAAAAATAAAAGAAATTATAAATATAATTTTTAAATTTAGATTGATTTAATAAATCAATTATTTAAAGTTTTAATTTGGGTGATGATAAAAATTATTTTTTTTAAAAAATAAAATGATAGAATTGTAGATAAAAATATGGAGATTCTTGAGAGTCAAAACCATACCCGAATCTACCTTTCGAGAGAAAAGCCAAAGCCATGCATGGATGGTAAGGTGGGAAAAGGGAGTTTGTTTTATTTGGCAGAAAAAGAAAAAAAGAGGCAAGTGGCACAGACGTGTCAAAGAAACCCGAGCAGCATGGAGGGGGCCACTTCTGCCATGTATTAAGGGTGGCCTTGTACTGAGGTGTTGGCCATGGCAGTTACACCAAAACTAAACCCCCCACCACTCCTCCCTCCCCTCCCCTCTCCAGTCTCTACCTACAGATCCACTGGTTTAAGCAACTCATTCTTTCCCTCTTCATAGCCATAGATTCCCATTTCTCCCTTAGCAAAGACAGCAAGTACAAAATGACGAGGAGAACTCTCCGGCTCTGGTTCTTTTAGTGCTCTCTCTCAATCTTCCTGGTCAGTTTCAGGTGATCTTTTAGTTTGGAAGTGGCATCAATTTCTTCTCCTCTCGCCAGACATGTTATTCTGTGTGTGTATTTGGTCATATCTTGAGTGTGATTTTTTATTAATTACATGGTAGATTAATTGCTGCATGCAAATGTGCTAGAGCCTAGCTAGAGGCCTGGCTCCGTTTGTCTTCGCGGTGGAGGTGCTGTTACTCCGACCGTAACCTCAAGAGTTTATATCTTAAATTACGGTCAAGATTTTATAGCTTTTTTAAAACTGTCTTACTCGTAATTATCAAGTTTTGATTAAGGTTATCATTTTGTTTAATCATCTACTCTGTCCAATCATCTTTATTCTTAATCGGGTTTTAAAGACTGTTAAATTAGTGGGCATGCATAAGGATTCGACCCTTGCATGCATCTTGTTCATGACACTGGCAGCAAAGTACTGTATTATTCACTTATTTAATAAACATCACTAGAAACTCTCCTTCCCTATTCCCTGTTAAATTTAAATAAGAACACTTTCCTTTGAAAATAAAAAAAAAGAATTTTTATTTATTTATTTTAGAATTATCAAATTCTGTTATTAGCATAGTTGTAAAATCCATGACTGGTAACTTGACCCGGATGCCCGATAAAATCCGGATCCTACTCAAGTGTGAATTTTAGCATGCAAAAGATGGGATAAGAGAAGAGAGTCGCAGAGAGATTCCAATCGACATAATTTATACGCATGTGCATTTTATAAGTTAGCTCATCTCCTTTTATTTTTTAAACAGAAGTTCTCCGTCAAATTACTTTTTTTTTTTTATTTTAAAAAATAAAAATGAATTGGTTGTCGTCTTGTTCTATAACCCTTTTATATATACATACACGAACTTCAGGTATGCAGTTGTTACTATTTAGTGTTTGATTAATTTATAATTAATTAGATCTTCTCACCATAATACTTTGTTTAAGAAAGTAGATTGTCCCTTCAATTTATTTTTGAAGGTGAAAGTGATGGTACTGCGCTGTAATCCCTGTATAAGAATTTTACCTGCTAAATATTAATTTGAACAGATTTTCTTGTTCAGGGACTCGAACCGCTGCAACGTTTACAGGCTCAGAATTCCAAGTTCAGCAATCATCTCCATTGGTCAAGACTTCCTCTAGACAACCTGCTGTTCGATGCAAGGAATGGTATCTGAAAGTATTGCCTATGGCAATGCCATACAAGAATCTCCAGTGCTACAACCACAAGATCACCAAGATCAGACAATGAAGGACACCCCCTTTTCTCCATTAGATGGACAAAGTTCTCTCTTGTCACTTACCCTCAATGAAATCCAGCTCAAGAGAGGGAAGAGCTTTGGCTCTATGAACATGGATGAATTTTTTGTTAACCTGTGGAATTCCGATGATAATCAAGTTCCATCACAACCCAACCAAAATGTTAGGCCTGATAATGATCATGGTGGTGTAACGAAGCAATGTCCGAATTTAGGACGACAAGGCTCTTTCTCTATCCCTGCTCCCCTTTGCAAGAAAACTGTCGATGAGGTATTGTTTGAGATACAAAATGAAGAACCACAGCAACATAATCCCAACAGCATTGGTGCTGATCATGAACCTCCTCAACGCCAACAAACACTGGGTGAGATAACATTAGAAGATTTCCTAATAAAAGCCGGTGTGGTTCAAGAGGCTCCTGCAGGGTCCTCGCAACAAAAGAAGGTGACACCAATTCAGGACAGAAACAACGCATGTTTGGACATGAACTTTGGAATGGGGCATATGATGGGGTTAGGATACCAAAATTTATCTGCTGGCAATGGTTTCGCAGCTTACCAAATGTTCCCACAAGGCAAATTAGGGTATAATGTGGGAGAGGTTGTACCTAAGAATGAGAAGTGTCAAAGCATAATGGAATTAGGAGCACAATCGAGCAAGAAGAGAATGAACGATGGTCCGCCGGAGGTGGTCGTGGAGCGGAGGCAACGCCGGATGATAAAGAATAGAGAGTCAGCAGCACGATCACGTGCTAGGAAGCAGGTTTTTGTCTTCTCGTAATTCTCTACCTTAATTCACACACATAAAAAAGCATACGTGATTTGGAAACCCACGACATATATAGAAGAATCTGATTCAGGTTGATTTTAAGTTGAGCTAAGAAACACATTGGCCCAGTGAAACCTCCCAGATAAATATCAAAGATTTTTTTTTTTTAAAAAAACGAAATAATAACATGTTAGATCACTCATAACGGTGGTTCTTCTCTTAGAATTAACGGTTCATTTTACATGTTTAATTTTTTAAAAAAATTTATATAGTACTTCAAATGTTATTAATCTCAAGGAATTCTTTACTTCTTTGTTCTTGATTTTTGAGTTAAATGATGCACTGCAGGGACTTGAACTTGAGTCTACACCTCATGTTCTGCAGACATGAAGGCCAGTAGTGTTTCAAGAAATCATTTTTTCCATGATAGACACACCAGAACTGTAGTTAATATTCTGATCAAAATCTCTTACATGTATTATTCTGCAGGCATATACAGTGGAGTTGGAACTTGAGTTGAATCAACTCAAAGAAGAGAATGCTAAGCTTAAGCAAATTGTGGTACTTAATTAAAACTAGAGATAGTCTTTCATTAATTATAACATACATTTAATATCTCCCCTGATCAGTATTATCATCACCCTAATAAAAGCTAGCCCTTTTGATTTCTTTTAACTTTTTATCAAATATAATTTGAAACAGGAGGAAATAGAGGAGAAGCGAAAGCAAGAGGTACAGCACTCATTATTTACGATTTTTGTCTGACTTCTTTAAACCCTACTCTTCTGCTACCTTGGCAAACACACACACAAAAGAAGAAAAGGAAAAAAACAATTTTCTTTTATGGCTAATTCCCCACGATTACAGGTTATGAGAAGGAAATCATCAAAGATGACGACACAAAAGAAAGATGATAAGTTGAGGGGCATAAGGAGGACAGTGAGCCTGGCTTGGTGAGGCAACGAAGACGATGTTAAGGTGGCCAATCGTATGTGTATAGTGATAGTTATATGTGTTGAAACCATATATTTAGTGTCATTGCTGTCCTAGCTCTTCTCACTATGTTCATAAATTAATAAGCTGGGGTGCCATAAGGAATTCGCTTCTTCTTCTTCTTCTTCTTCTTTTTTAATATGAATAACAATTAATTAGTATGAATTGCGTAGGCAATCTTTGCTTTCTTATATAAAAGCAAAACAATACCTTACTAATATTATTAATCTCAAGTGCTCATGCCTTCAATGTTTTGGAAAAGAAATTGTTATTTAACTCAAGAGGTAGGAATCAAGCTAAGACTCTGAATTCATCATTTTTCAGCACATCAACATCGCCAGCCAGTATCTAGGATCCTGTTTTTGGGAAGAAGTTGAAAGGGCAAAATCAATTCGTCGCCTGATCAAAGATTCGAACTCTCGCGGGAAAAGAGGAACTCACTGAGTCATCTTGAATCTTTGATGGAAGATTAGGGAGTAGTCATTGTTGTGTTTATGAAGGATAACATTGGGCTTGAACGACCAAAAAAAAACAAACAAAAAACTAGTTGCAGAAGATGATTAATTACTATTTTTATTACCCTCTATGAACCGTGGAACTACCAACATGATATGTGTTACATTTCAACAACAACAATAGATGTAAAAAAATAAAAAAAAAAAAACTTTGATGCTCAACCAATAGCGCAAGTTTATAAAAATTTAAAACTTTTTATTTAAAAAGTATAATAAAAACTAATAAAAAATAATATTTTAAAATCTCATTTAACCACTTAAACTTTGAAATTGCTAATTTAATTTTATAAACTAATATAAACTATAAAATTTTAATTTCTGTCAATATATTAAATATACAGGTGAAATCAAATTATAAATTGAAATTTTGCTTATGTTCAAAATATTTTGTAAATTTCAACTTAACGTCAAGTTTTACAAATTCATAAATATGATGCTTTTTTTCCTCTCATGAGTAAAGCACATATTTTTATTCATATTATTCTCATATTTTTATTACATTTTTTATTGATTTTTTTTTTTAAATTTTTGATAGGTTATATTTATATTTGAGTAGAAGAGCACTACAACTTTAATGTCCAGTAATTTCTTCTTAAATCATAGTCCATTGGTTAAACAAATATTTCTAATTTTCCTTTTTAATAAAAAAGAGTGTTTGATACAATTCTAAAAATTTTTCATCTCACTAGGGATTCAATTATTACTAATTTAAAAATAGAGGACCCAATCGGACTAAATATAAAATAAGCGTATCGATTCGATAAAAATACCAATACTCGAGGGATCATATTAATAATTAATTATTTTTATCATCCTCCTCTCCCACTCCCGCGAGCCTTTTACATTTCTTTTTCTCTCTAAAATAATCACATGATTTTTCTCTCTCCAAAATAATAGTTAATAATAATAATAATAATATATTTCTTTTTTATCGAAGCTTGACTTCAGCGATTCTGAGGTAATCTAAGCTTTTCTCTTTTAATTTCTCATAATTCCAACTGTATTTAGTAGCTAGGGTGGTTTACTTAATCTTTCATGAAATTCTCTAATTTTTTAATCATTTCATGTCATTCAATCAATAATTGTTGTATTTACTTAGTATTAGTAGCTGATCACTTAGGATTAATATGGGAATCTCGATTTTTTTGGGTTGTTTTTTCTGTTTAAAATTGATGGTTTTTAAGGGTAAATTTGACAAAAATGAGAGTTTTAGTTTATGGAAGTTTTGATATTTTCTGTTTGGTCCCTGAGAAAATATCGAGGAGAGAAAATAAATTGAGGGATGTTCTGTGTTATTAAATTACTTGTTTCGAGCAGCTTAAGACGAAATTTTAAGTTGAGATAATAATTTAAATAGAGGAAGTTCTGCCATGTCACCAGAAATGCCACCATTTCCACAATGTGTGCCTTTGGAGCCGATTACGTTAGGCAATCAGAAATATACTCGGTCCGGAGAGGCGAGGAGGGTTTTGGGAGTTCCGCCCAGTAGTGCGTCAGATGATCATTCTTTTGGAGTTGCACATCCCAAGCCAATGCCTCCAGTAGCAACGGAGGAGCTAAAGCATTTTAAACAAAGTGTGCATGATACTTCTAGAAAGGCCAGGTATGTTCTTCATCAGATTTTAACTTCCTGCTGCATGTTATGGTTATTTGGGATTTTACTCGTACAAGTCATTATGTGATTGTTTTTGCAATTGAAGTGTAATGGCTGTGCATCGCTATTGACATGGGATAATGTTGTTACGGAAAAATTAGTTGCTTGTATTTCATGTTATAAACAAGATGATGAAATATCTTCGTACTCCTTAATAAGTTTTCTGTCCCCTGATATTTTATTTGCTTGTATATTTTGGAAAACTTTTGTTAACCCCTGCATGTTGTTGCAATTCAAAATTCTTCCTTTGATGCTGTTTCTGTCTTTATGCATGTATAGTATCCTTGTTTTGCTTTAGATTTTCGTGTTGAAGATGTAGTTCAATTTAATGATTTATTTACATGTTTCTGGAGAGCTCAAAGCTCTTGAGTAGTTATTAAAGATGTCATGTATTTATAACAGGGACAGAGCAAAACGGTTGCGTGAATCCTTATCTAAATTGGAAAGGTATAGAGAAGCCTTAAGCTCAAACAAACGACAAAGGAGTGAGCTTTCATTGAATGAGAAGTCAAATTTAGCGAATGCAGCAAAGGCAGGGGGTCAGATTCATAGGAATCCTCATGATATGACTCAAAGATTGAAGGACAGGACCAAGAGTATTGGGCTGAATAAGCGTGTTCGTACTTCAGTGGCAGATGTGCGGGTTTGTACTTAGACATTGATCTTGATATCTTTTCTTCTTTTTTACATCTTCATAATGTTTGAGACATGATTGATTTCTGAACCAGAGATTTGATTGTAGATTAGGCAGTTTAGTTTATAAGATGCTTTGTTGAATCTGCCTCCCGCTTCGATCATAGGGATTATCTATGTTCTCTCTGTGGCTTACACAAGCTTTTAACTCTGTTTATATTACTTGTGCTACCAGGCAGATGGTAGATCCGCAATGCCCTCAAGGCAACAGATGGTAATGGATAAGGGTGGAGATATGCTCCAGGATGTTGGTGCTGCTGCTGTTCGGTTTGAAGAAAAGATCCGCAGATTGCCTGCTGCAGCTGAAAGATGGGATACAAAAAATAAAAAAAAGCGTTCTGTTGGACTAATGAGTAATAGAGTTATAAATGGTGATCAAGAACAAAAACGAACTATGCCTTCCAAGATGAGCGCTGACTCTAAGTTGCGATCATGTGATGCTCAGAGTTTCAGGTAATTATGTTTGTTTATTGACGTTATTGCTGGTTTTTTGGTTATGTTGTGATTATTGTTTAATATCAGGAATCTGCTACTGTGTTCTTTTGAGTGCAACTGTGGAGACATCATGTTTAGAAAGCTTGTATCTTTATTGTTTTTTTGGGTTTTCCTTTCCAAAGCAGCAATCTATAATTGACATGCTAGTGCATTGCTTCTCTGATTGAATTGTGTTCATACCTTTTCCCACATTCATGATAAAGGAAGAAATTCAAAGAGATTTTGTTATATAAATGGTTTTCTAATATATTACAGATCAAAGTCATCTGCTGGAATCAGTGGAATGAACAAATTGGATGGTTCTTTCGAACCTAGTAGTACAGATACCGGCTCAGTCCTTAAGAATGAAATGGAAAGTGGTCCTCTTCCAAGAGACTGTAAAGCTCTTTCAGAGCATAAGGCTGTGACAAAAGGAACAAATAAGTAGGTATTTTCATCTTTAATATCACTCTGTAGTAAAGGTGCATCATACATTACATCAGGTTGTTTGTTATTACGTGTGAGGCTATTAATTTTTATATGGTGCTGTTTATCAGGTCAAATACTCATGAGGATAATTTAGCAAGCACTCCTATAACAGTGATAAAAGCAAAGGTTTCTCGAGCACCACGTACTGGGTCCATCATGCTACTGGATTCATCACTTAAAGTTCACCCATCACCCACATCCCTTCAAGCTTTGGAACAGCCTACAAGTTCAAATAAAGTCCCAGTGCCTGGAGTGGTAAATAACCACAGGGTTCAAATGTCGGCAGGCTCATCTTCACATGCTATGGCTAAGTGGGTTGGTCAGAGACCACACAAAAACTCACGTTCACGGAGGGCAAATGTAATTTCTCCTGGTTCAAACCATATTGAAGCTCAGATGTCATCTCAAGGTTTTCCCACTTCTGATTTTAGTGTCAGAAGTTCTTCCATTGGAATCAATGGATCTCTGATTGCCAGCAATCTAGATACTAACACTCCAAAGTTCAAGAGGGAACTTGAGAGTGCTCAATCTCCCTTTGGGTTATCTCAAAGTGAAGAATCAGGTAAACCAAAGGACAAAGGAGCAGATAGTAGTGAGGTTTCTCTTTCTGCAACTCAAAAAGTTGGAACTTCTGTATTGCCTACTAAGAAGAATAAATCATCAACTAATGAAAATGGGGATGGCATACATAGACAAGGAAGGAGTGGACGAGTTTCATCCTTAACAAGGCCAGCTAGTCATCCAGTGAGGGAGAAGGTAGAGAATCTTCCAGCTGCAAAGCCACTTCAGAGTACAAAGGGTGCTTCTGATAAAAATAAAAGGTGTCTTCCCTAACTGCCTCTACTCCAAAGCAACCTATTGGTTGGTCAAATTATTTTGTGAACTTGTTTTCGATACTGTTCTGAATTTTGAAGCTTTTATATATTTCTCTGAATCAGTAAAACTGGCCGTCCACCTTCCAAAAAGCTGAAAGAGCAGAAGGCTTTAATGCATGTTGGACTGGTGCCCGACAGTGGTTCCTTAGATTTTACAGGTACTATTCATTGTTACCTGTACAATAAATTTGGAGTTTTCTTTTTTAGATTTGTGATGTGTGTACAAAGACTCTGTTCTTCATGATGAGTATTGCATATCTTAAAACTATGCTGCAAGGATGACATTTATGTAAGTGTTTTTTTTTCCACTGGACAAAACTCTCTTCTTGGCATGACCAAGAACTCAGCACGAATATAAATCACATGGACATCAACATCTTCCGGTGAATTTGTGCC